ATGAGAGCTTGTAACAACGAATGAGAGAATGAGTCCGTGCATATAAATGCCTTTTGTATGTCACCTTACTTGATATGGAGCAGGGCGGCTAGGATTGCTGTTAATTCAGCCGTGTACACAGTGTTGTAAGTTGACAGGCGGTTTGATTTGTCGTAATCATGATGTACGAAGGCAGCTCCTGTGCGGCCATCGCAAAGGCAGCCGTCATTGTAAATAAAGGTGTGCTGGTCATGTTCTCCTTTGAACCCAGCGAACATTGCGTGCACTTCAGTTTCTGATACTTTCTTTTTTGTTCTGAAACAAAAAGATGACGTTAGGAATAGGGCCACCCCAAAACGGCCGGGGACTGGGAGTTAGGCTGCAGGGGATGTCCGGGAGATGAAGCGCTCGTTGCGCTCGAATAACGCGAATGCTGATGGTTGGATGTTTGAGCTCCGCGTTGGTAAGTGTATGGTTTGGGCAGAGATGTGCGAGGGTGTTGTATGTGGGGTTACCAACGAACACTGTGGCGCGTGCGTAAGATCTGAGAAGCTGTGAGTTTTGTTGGTGTGATAAGAAGAGGACAGTCGTGTCCGCGAGCAGATTTAGGACCGGGGAGGTGCGAAGTGCAGCATTCACTGTGTGGAGGGCTGCGTTCTGGATGGTCTCCAGGGTTTCGACTTTTTTGGACGGAATATCATAAAAAAGTAAGCCATTATAGTCCAAGATCGAGCGTATCATGGAGGTTTAGAGGCAGAGTAGAGTGCGTCTGTCGGCGCCCAACCCCCGTCCTGCTATGCATTTCATTATGTTCAGTCGTTTAGCGCAGCGTTGCTGAATGTCAGCAAAATAAGTACTGAAAGTAAGACGACGATCTCATGTTATTCCAAGGTATTTAAAACTGTGAACTAGAGGGATTATTTCACCCTTAAGATTCAGGCGGTGGGATGTTTAACATTATTTTGGCCAGAGAAGATAATTACAGCTGGCTTCACGGTGAGCATATGCAGTTCCCGCCGTGTACACCACGCAGAATTAGATTTAAAGCTAACTGTATATAATGCAGGGCGTGTTCGACATCGGCATGCATATCCCAACAACCAGGTCGTTCGTGTCCAGAGAATTGCGGAAAATGTTGAGAAATATAATGAATGTTATTAAGACATTATTTATCATTACAAGGAAGAAGGTTGGAGATAAAACACTGCCCTGAGGAGGACCGTGATCCTGCGCCGTCGGAGAAGAATAGGCATTTCCGCAACGCACAGAAAACGTCCTATCAGTTGGGAAGTTTTTAATGAAAGCTGCAATTCGGCCGCGAACTCCGATTTTATGCAGTTTAATCAGGAGGGCACTTGTGTTTGCCCTGTCGAAAGCGTCCTTTAAACCCACGAATAGTGTCACCGTATTTGATTTAGCCTGAAATCCGAGCTGAGTGGAATCTGTAATGTGGACCAAGGTGTCCGCCGTGGAGCGGCCGGGACGAAAGCCGTTCTGAAAAGTAAAAGAAGGTAATTTGACTCTAGGAACATCCTGATACGTTCGATGACCATTCCTTCGGATATTTTAGAAGCACAGTTAGTAAATGATAGTAAAGTAAATGATAGGGCGATAGCTCGAAGGGTCAGAGGGAGGCTTAGAATACTTAAGTATAGGGCAAGTGTGCTAGAGCGCCAGGAGGGAGGGAAGAATCCGTTAACCCACGCATAATTAAAAGCCAAAAGAAGATTGGTGAGTCCAGACCTAGTGAGATTTTTAGAGAAAGCGTAGGCTGACGGGTCTGGACCAACAGAAGTGTTTCCACACTTACTGATTGCAAGGTCTAATTCATAAGCTGTGAATAGTACGTCGAATGTCTCAGTATTAACAGACGTGAAGTTGAGTGCGAGCAATGTGCCGTTGAGTGTCTTAGTGACCTATTGGGAATACTGTTCGGACGGTGATACAAGGGCGACGCGTGCGGCAAATTTTGTGGCGACTTCGAATGGGATGCTGTAGTGTTGATTGCTGATTACAAGGTGCGCGGTTTTATGATATGGTGTGCGCTTGTTTGTGAAACATCCAACCAGTGACCATAATTTAGATAGCGGGGTAAAGCGGTTGAACGCATTCGAAAACTGCCCCCAAATTTTTCTGTTTTACGCTTTAAGGATTATATCGGCTTGATGTTTAGCTACGCGAAACTCCTTTCCATAAGCTATGCAAATGCAACTACGAAAGGCACGCATAGCGCGGCGTCCCAGTGCTACTGCGTGCTGACACTTATCATTCCACCAAGGCGCATGGTTATGCCCAGGTAGACGATGAGTGGGGGGAACGAACTGGTGCGCTGAGGCTAAAATCTTGTTTAGAAATGTAGGGAGGTCTGAAGTTAAGCCTGGGGAGTGTGCCTCGTCTATATGATTTTGGAAAGATGCCCAGCCCGCTCTGCAAACAGTCTATCGTGGAAGAGAATTGAGGCCTTTTGCCCTGATAGGACCTCTAAAGTTATGTGGATTGGGTAGTGGTCACTAAAACGCAGGTCCAGTTAAACATTGTGCGTAAAGAGTGGTGTTACGCGTGGTATTGTCAAGGCCAGATCTATAACAGAGTGCGTGGTGCCCCGGTGGTGATGTGCATGCGTAGGTGTCAGTTCGTTAATACATCTGAGGTCTGAGTGTCCCTGAGTGTGAAAAACTCTACCCCTTGCTTGTGTCGTGTTACGTGTCGAATGACGAAGTCAGTCTTTTCTGTTTCCAGTTCTTCGTAAAGGTCTGATCTCTTAATAAGCTGACCGGTGGTACGGAACGAGTCGCAATGTCAGGCAATTTTTCCACCGCATTGACATAAAAACGCGGTGGAAATCCACCGCAAGTAAGCAGCTACGCATCGAATAAAAAAGTAGATCAATGAGGACTCCAATTTTCCGTACAGACTCGTGTTAGTACCGAAATGAACCGACCGGTGATCCTGCGCGAGTTGCAATACACGTCAGTTTTGTTTACCAATTCTACATCAAGGACCGTGCACATCGCGGATAAACTGCTACTCTTCCAACTCGCAAGCATAATGTTTTGAACCCTAATTTCAAGTGAAGACTCACGCAGATTACAAATTAAGCTGATGCGTACTGGGGATTAAATGAGAACAATACAAACAAGCTTTAAGTTCCGCCTTACTTCTACACCAAGTTTTTGCTCCTTTAAAAATAAACATCTCCTCCTAGCTGAATAACGTATATATATATATATATATATATATATATATATATATATATATATATATTGCAATATTCTTCACAATCTAGCAAAATGTCTGTTGTCTTCTCTGTGTTAACAGCTCCTTAACGGACAGACGATTTCTGGCCTGCTCCCCCACGGAAGACTCGTTGATCGTTGATTTGCTGCTTCAGCGATGGTGGGTCGCCGCTGATGAAGCGGTAGACGATCGCGTTGCCGCCCGACGTCCGGTGAGCGGGATCAGTGTCACCCCTCCTCACTTCGATCGCTAAGTTTTCCCTGATCAAGTTGATCACCACTGCTTCGATGTCTTCCGGTCGGCCACTGGTGGAAGACGGCGGTTCAGCGGCGCCCAGCGGCGGCCAGCTGGAGTCTTCCGCCGCCGGCCGATCGGTACCTGCCCACTCCGGTTGAGGCTCTGGCTCCGCTCGCAGCCAACCCGGGCTGGCGGGGACCACGGGAAGCAGGGCAGCCGACCCTGGACGAGTCCCTGGCGCCGCCCTCGATCAGTCCTGGCTTGCGGGGACCGCGGGGGGCAGGGTGGCCTACCCTGGACGAGTCCCTGGCGCCGCCCTTGATCAGTCCTGGCTTGCGGGGACCGCGGGAGGCAGGGTGGCCTACCCTGGACGAGTCCCTGGCGCCGCCCTCGATCAGCCCGGGCGAGTCCCCGTTTACGAGGGACGGCTGGACCGGAGAACATCAGAGTGTTCCCGATTTCCGATTTCCTAGTATTTTATTTTTGAGCGACTCCATGTCTCCATTTCGTTCTGTGTGTCGTTCCTGCTCTATTATTCTATGATGTCTCCCAAGCTCTGGCTCAATGAGGAATGTCAGGGCCCCCAATGCTTTTTTCGTCAAGTCTCAGATCCCCGATAACCCCATCTGTGACTTCAGATGGAGAACTCCTCCCAACGCACGTCTCTGAGCTGACGCGGGTCACCTCTGAGAGCGATGACTGGGACTGGGCTGGAGACTGCCCGTCCGAGAGCCGCCGGCGCTTGCCGGCTTCGCTGGAGTTCTCCATCGTCTTGACATGGAGTGACTTGACATGACATGACTTGACTTGACATCGTCTTGACATGACCTCCATTGACTTGACATCGTCATGACACTTGACAAGTCATACACAGCTGCCTATCGACCTTTGCCGACATCTTTCAGCCCATTTGCTCCAATGCCCTGCCGGGCCGCTTTACTCGCGCAGCAACGTGTCATGCACCATGAGGTCAGGTGAAGGTTACACCACTGGGAGCGATAACCGTGCGCGGCGGCGGTCGGTCATCAGCTGGATCTCATGGCGCCCCTCGATAAAAATGCGCCCCAATCAAACTTCCTGGATCCGCCCCTGCCGCGAGAGAGATGGAAAATGTATGAGACGCCGACGACCATATGTTACTTTCGAGCGTGGACGCCGAATGGAGAGCTCGGCAATCGTGAACTTATACAGTCAGATACTGACAGTTGGCCTCGTGTGTCATTGGGGCTTCACAACGCACTCAACTGCTGAGGCTACATGGCGTTGCCTGTATCTCACCGAGGTAGGATTAGCTTTCCCATTATGTTTGAAAAATCTCCCCGCCTCCTTGAAAAGACTCCTTGAGACCCACATAAAAGACAGGAGCGTTAGGAGTGCTCAAAACTGGACAGGGAACGGCTGTCTTGTTTGGACGTGTTTCTCGTTACGTATGAACCTGCATTGAGTGCATCACCTTGAGATGTAGCTCGATTGGATTCGCTTTCGGACATTGGACGACGCAAAAAGTTTAACCTTCGTCGAACTGAATAAATGAGACACCACTCCATACAAAACATTTATGTACAAAAAACCGGTAGGCATAGAATGCAGTATGTACAGAATGTATCACAGTTATGGCACGTGGTCACAAAAGCCCGGCGGACCTGTCCGCTCTCACCGCAGCGGCGCATTTAAACACAAATACCACCAGCAGTCGCTCCGAGCAGCACGCACGGACACATCAGTCAGACACGGCTCTCCTGACGCAGATCGCGGGCGGCCGTCTCCTTCCGGGTCGCAGCCAGACGAGCCTACGCCCGGTGGGTCCAGAAGCAGGCGAGTCGTCCATGCATGATCCGCAGCCGAGCGGCGATCGGCGCGTGACGTCACAGCATGCGCGGCACACGAAAAGAGGCGTGCAGTACGCGTGCGGCTGCTCCGCGGTAACGGCAATGCATGCACTCGCCACCGGGTACAGAACACGGGAGTTGCTGGCGGCACTGGGAGCAAGCCCACTCGCGCTGGCGAAGTGCCAACGCGGGGCAGAAATTAGTGAACCAAAAGCAGCGAGAGAGCACTAACAGATTACATGTCATGAACGCTAAACTAAATGTGGTCCCCCGGAAGCGAGGCCACCAGTCAATAACAAAACACAGAGCTGACGCCCGATCCGACGCTGTTCCGAGCAGTCGTTAAGTAAAAATGGGTACAAAGTAGCACCATTCATGCACTTTGTACTGGAATCTCAGCGGAGTTTGGCCAATACTTCACGCAGCAAGCGCCACCCATGCGGACGAAATTAAACTGCTACAATGGCAGTGCATGACTGGGACTGCTCCATCGCATAATCTCGGCTAAGGTCAAATCAAACTAAAGCTCGTTACGCGGCAGCCTGCGCTGACGTGGCTCCAGGCCGGACGCCCGCGCAGCCACCATCGGAAAACGCACAACACACGACAGCGGAGCTGTCTGCAGGCTGCACGGCGTTCTCACGAGGACCCGTCAGCCGCGGCTCCGTCCAGCCACAGCCGCGAACGACGGGGTGTGTCGATCACGGCTGAGGATCGGAGCACCACACAGTCGGAAGCCCATCTCACGGCGCCCGACGCATCGCGGTGCAACTCCGAGGACGGTCCTCAAAGGACTGTCTCTCGAGGAGTTACGCTGCCCGGGGACTCCCAGCACTCAGGTGGCCGCCGTCAGGAGGGCCGCCGTCGGAATGTGCCGGCCGCTGGGCCGGCGGGCCAGCCTCACCCCGGCCGACCTGAGCGCGAGTGTCTCCTCCGAGCTGGCCCGGCCGGCCGGCGGGCCCGGCGCCGCCCGTCCCACCGCGCGCCGTCGGCCGTCGGCCGGCCCGGCCTCTGAGATCGCGGCCCAGCTCCGGCCGGCCGGGCGCCGTCAGATGCGCGAGCTGGCGTCGTCCGACTCGATGTCACACAGCTGGCCGCCGTCCTCGCTCTGACTGCCGGCCGTCAGCGACTCCAGCTCGGCGTACGTACCCAGCTGCAGCGGCAGACGGTTGCGCGCCGGGTACCGGTACCTGCGCGGCACGGGACACGGACGGTCAGGGCCGTAGCTGACTTCTGAGTACATCACGTCACGCTGTGTTGTTTGAAGTACAGGTTGGTCATAGCGACTAGTGCCAACTTCATTGCTCAGCTCCAAGACGACGCTGACTTTCATCCCGGTGCCCAGCTGAACGTGCCGCCGGCGTTCCCAGTGAGCCCCGTCACAGGGTGGCTCACCTGTCCAGCCGGTGCAGCAGACCGTCCGCCTCGCCGTCCGTGTCGGCGCCGCTGTGCGCCGGCAGGTACAGGTTGGGGTGCGCCGCCAGGCCGTAGGCCAGGTCGCCGCCGGCCACCGACGACAGCTCGGACGCCGAGCCGCCCAGCTCGATGCCGTGAGCCGACAGAATGCGGTCGAAGTCGGTCGGCTCGGGCAGCGTGTCCAGGTCCGAGGTGATGTCGTCGCCGTCGCCCTCGCCCACGTAGTCGGACGTCTGGTCCTCGTTCAGCGTCTCCAGCACGTCGTCGTCGTCCGCCATGGCCACGCCTGCGCAGCACAGGACGTCATGAAGCTGCACGCGTTGCATGCTCCAGATTGGGGCGGAAGTTACAGTTTTCAGTTGCGTTTCGTTAATTTCAAAACTAGCGGTTTTTAACAGAACGTTAGGTAAAGGTGGTCCAAATTCATAAACGGATATGATGAATTGCCAACTCATTGTGGATAATTCTTTTTGGTTGGCATACATAGACGTGATGTAATATAAAGTATGTTCAATTTTGAGCGATGCTTGAACCCAATAGGACTAAACGCATTCACGAAACGTCAATTTGAGATCATGGTACGACATACGCAAACTAGCGAACATTGCAACAATCGGTTATTTTCATTTGGCTACGATACCGGGGATATTCATCATCGGCAAAATCTCGTTCATAAACTGATCACAGGTATACTCTCGTGCAAATTGCAGCGTAAGTGTGGTGCACTGCTATGGAGGTAGTGCTCGAGCATAAGAACGGTATTGGGGGTGGGATCAACAGGCTGTATGGGCCCGTAACCGAAACCGACAACCGAAGACAACAAAATCTGTTCCGTTGGCAAAACAATTCCGACTCAAAGCAGCAAACTGAACGTACGGTCTATCAACTTCATTGGTTTAAGCGGCGTTAGGAATAAGGTGAAAACTGAATCAAGCCATCGTCTTGATCAGCAACCAAATATAATGTGCTCATAGGCTTCGCAGAAGCAGACAAGCTAGCACAAAAAACACCTTACTTGAAAGCCCCAGTCCCGTTTCTATGCACCACTCAGCAGCGGCTGCGGCCTCTCCTCAAACAACCACGCTGTCTGGCCGCTGTTCCACCCAGCTCTCAGTACTTGGGGGGGGGGGGGGGGGGGGGGGGGGCACGGACTTATATCTGAGTGTCAGTGAACAAAATCGGACCATAGCAGAAAAAGCTGCCAGTTATGTCGTGTTGCAAGTAAATGTCCGGCCACGTGTTCCCGGACTCGCTGTCTCGTGATCTCGTGATCTGATACATCGAACAATCAGCTGGGAATGTTAGTTGAGACATCAAAGAGGAGCCCAGGACGCTTTGAGCTAGCTGTTGCCGACACACAAACGTCCGACCCAATTTTCTACGCATTGACACTTGCGACCGAAGTAGCCATCAGTAAGGATTGCAGCAGCGCCAAAAAGTGTTGCAGGTAATTCACTAAATTATGTTATAGCCTAGTCTATACTCCTGTTTCGTATCTTCTTCGGACACCTGGAAGGGGGCACAGAACCGTCGAAGAAAAATGCCCACAAAATGTTCACACATGTGAACTAGCCAACATAAGTGCGTGAAGTTTCGAACAGATACGCTTCGAACATTCTGCCAGTCACGTCTGCCCTCAAACTCAGACTTCGGCAAGATAGCAGTTTCATTTGAAATTGCCCAATGCACGACGCGGGAGTCTCACCTTACCGTGTATTTGAAGCTGAATGTGAGCACGACTGACTTAATTGCGTTCCCACATGCGAATGTAGCGTATAACGCACTTTTCCCCAGCTTACAAAACGCTTCGTTGAGTTTCCCATCTCTAAAGCACACTCCATCCACAATGTGTATGTATCCAATTCACAAAGCATTCCGAAATGCAAGGCATGTCGCAAACTGAGACGATTTATCTCCATATGAAGACTCAGTCGCAACCATGGCGTCGCAAAAGTCGATTTTACTCACTGGCAGGGGCGCGAACAGCAGTGTTGCTCTCGTTGCTCTCGTTGCTATGGTAACTGGACGTGTCCTTGACCTCTGACCCCGTGACCTCGGTGATGTTCGGCAGGGGATTCTGACTGGTGCGAACCCAGTCCGAACAGTCCCAGTGGTAATCTGAAAGGAACGTTGGCGTACGTTCATCAACATCATTGGGTTGTACATCAAGGAACGTTGGCGTTGGTAGTCTGAAATGATGCCGGGTAGATAGCTGAACCCGACCGGGAACGGAGTATAAAACATGAGTCCACACGACCCGCACAACACACGACCAGAAGCTGGCACAAAGGAGCACCCATTCATTGGAAGGGTGCAGATATGATCATAGGCTCAGCGGCGTGAGGAGAATGTCATTCACAACTTAAAGCTGGCCAGCAACCGATTGGCAGGCGTCATGCGGCGGGAGCTGACCTGGCGTTTCCGGGGAGGAGAGAGCGGTGGCGCCGCCCTCACGGCGCGGCTTGTCCAGCGGCGGCAGCTGGATCCTGTTCAGCGCCGCCAGCTGCGGGTCCGTCAGGTCTGCACAGACAGCGGGGGGCACGCGTCACGCCTGATGTTTGTCACCAGCCCTGAGGTCACCAAGCGGGCCACCAACCACCACCATCACCGCCAGATTAGGTCCTCATAACGTATGATCGATACAAATAATAGATGTCACGGTTTCCCGCGGGCCACCAAATCCAAGCCTATCGGGGTTCATCCAGACACGAACACTGCTTACATATAGGCCGGGCCACGCAGACAGCCATGAGACGCGTACCGTTCTGTATCTTGTGCATGTCGTAGTAGGAGGGCTTGATGTTTTTGTCCATGTCCCGGTAGGACTTCTCCAGAGTGTTGGTGGCGCTCATGTCGGAGGCTGTGGCCGCCATAGAGGGCGCCACACTCGCCGTGGGCTTGTTGAAGTTCTGAACACAGAAACGGAGAGGTCGTCAGAGGTCACGCGTCGCACTAGGAGAACATTCACCACAATAACAGGACGCCAAACAGGCGCTGTGAGTGACCTGCAAGTGCTGACAGGCGCTGTGCGGCGGACCGTCCAGGTCTGGGGAAGGTCTAACTGACCTGCAAGTACTGGCAGGCGCTGTGCGGCGGACCGTCCAGGTCCGAGAAGGTCCAACTGACCTGCAACTACTGGCAGGCACTGTGCGGCGGACCGTCCAGGTCTGGGGAAGGTCTAACTGACCTGCAAGTACTGCCAGGCGCTGTGCGGCGGACCGTCCAGGCCCGGGAAGGTCTAACTGACCTGCAAGTACTGGCAGGCGCTGTGTGGTGGACCGTCCAGGTCGTCGGCTGCCGACCCGTAGCTGCGGATGGTGTCCAGGTTGTTGAGCGTCGAGTATTGCGGCTCGGAGGCCCGGTTGTTGGCTCCGCCGGTGAACGACGCCGGACGGACCGGCAGAGTCGCTGCCACCTGCCGGACACACATGAAAACAGGTGCCCACAAGGACATGGGGTCGAGCCTGAACAGCGTATGTAACGAACGTAACCTACGTACATTTCACCTGATATACATCTCTGAGCTAGAAAACATCTCAACACCTGACTCTCCTCTGTGTTTACGTGCCTGAAACCTCTCGGTCGTTTAACCCGAGTACGTGAAAGTAGTCTGCACATGGCATGCCTGGCTGTGAACCGGCGACACGTAAGTGTTCACATCGAGCAACGATGTTCGTCGACACCTAGTGACAGCGCACGTACCGAGCTGTTGGCCTCCAAGTTGGACACCTTGGACATCCGCTTGTACTCGCCGCGCTGGTTTTTTGGCTTGATGTTCTGCAGCAGGATCTCGTTCGAGGCGTCCTGGTTGCCGGCCAGCGGGTGGCGCGGCGTGCGGCTGCGCTTGCGCCGCGACTGGCGCCAGCACACCACCAGCAGCACCACCAGAAACAGCGCCAGCACGAACGCCACGATGCCGACGATGTGCTCGAGCGTGATGGGCAGCCGGGCGGCCGGCGCCGCCGCCGTCAGGCCGCAGTACGTGCCCGTCCAGTTGGCCGCGCACAGGCAGCGGAACGCGCCCGGCACGTTCACGCACGTGGCGCCGTTGCGGCACGGACTCTGCAGGCACTCGTTGACGTCGACCGTGCACAGGGGCCCGGTGAAACCGCGACACTTGCACAGCGGTCCGAACGCGCCCTCCTCGCAGGCGCCGCCGTTGCGGCACGGGTTGGGGTTGCAGTGCAGGCCGTACTGGCAGCGCCGGCCCGACAGACGCACCGGACAGTCGCAGCGGTAGTCACCGGCCACGTTGGTGCACACGCCGCCGTGCAGGCAGGGTGATGAGGCGCACGGGTCCGTGTCCTGCTCGCACCGCTCGCCGAGGAAGCGGACTGCGCATGCGCAGCTAAAGCCGCCGGCGGCGGCGGCGGTCGCCGAGCAGCGGCCGCCGTTCAGGCAGGGCTGGTGGCCGCAGGCGTCCGGCTCGGCCAGCTCGGCCCGGCAGCGGGCCGACAGACGCACCGTCTGCTGCAGCCGCGCCGAGCGGCTGCTGTCGCGCGCGTGCAGCGGCAGCCGGTGGCCGTCCAGCTGAAGGTTGTCCAGACAGCCGGCGAAGCCGCGTTCCGTCTCGCGCGAGCCGTCCGAGCCGGCCGGGCGCACGACAGCACCCACGAACATCAGTCCATTGGCCACGCTCAGCACCTCGTAGAAGCCGGGCGCCGCGCCCTGCAGCCACGGCACGCAATCAGACAAACAGTCCGCCGCTGGTGTGTCGGGTGACGGAAACGCTACGCTACATGTCAAGACACAGTGCCCGCAAGTCTGGTAGAAATGCCGGCCCCAACCAATAGCCATCATTGACACCCCATGATATGTCATTAAGAAGGCGGGTTTACAACACACTGTATGCCCGCCTGCGTGCTTCAGTTATGAGCCGGGAATGATGGGGTCCTCACCTGTGCACCATAGCGTCCATCCACCAGCACCTCAGCTCTGTTGCCGAACCTCTTCACGAGCACGTTGTGCCACCGGTCATCGTTGAACTGCATGTCCGGCACCAGGACGCGCCCCTCACCGCTGCCGCAGTCGAAACGGTACTGAAGCTGACCGTTCACAATCTGAAATCCGAGTAAGGCCCATTATGATATCAAAATTATGCATGCAAATAACGCACAGCAGAACAGCAACCACGCAAATGGAAGGAGATCAAACCGACAATACGTCAACCAATATGCAATGAAGCCTACGCTGTTTACAAAGGATGAGAACCATCAGAGATTTTCAGAGCCAAGACGGGTGTCACGGTCAAAATGACAAAGCTTCTGCCATATTTGAGTCAGCTTCTCCACGTGGCCACAAAGAAGCGGTGACTGCACAACAAGCTACGCCAGCTACCTCTGACGTGCTGTACCCTCTCTCGTCCAGTGTTCCCAGCTGCCATCAGCACAGACAAGACGCTGACCTCAAGGATGCTGTACTCGACGCCGCCGGCCGAGTAGACGAGCGTGCCGGTCGGCTGCCGCGTCCGCAGGCTCAGCTCCAGGGTGAGGCGCCGCTCGGATGGCTCCAGCAGCCGGTACTCGGCGTACCCGTCGCCGTCCAGCGAGAACGGCGCGCGCGGCGTGTAGCACTGGCCCTGGCGGCACTCGGAGGCGAGCAGGCCACAGCGGGGGCCGGTGCGACCCTCCGGACATCGGCAGCTGAAGCCCGCCGCTGAGGCGTCCGGTATGCACGTCTGGTACTCGGCGCACGGCGAGCGGCCGCACTCGTTCACCAGCTCCGAGCACAGCTCGCCTGCCGCCACCAGAGCACAGGTCAGAGCACAGCCCACCCGCTCGGTTCCGAGGTCACCGTCAGAGCGATGTCAGGTCATCTGCGAGATCATGGCAAGCAAGAGAGCTAACCGACCTCCGCAGCTAGAGGCGAGCGCTCACTGCCCTGATCGTGTACACATAACACCGCTGCACATATTCTACAATATTTGACATTTCCAACTAAAATTCAGCACCACAATGCACGACAACTAGCAGTGCGGCGATTGGAAACTAACGTGTGCGAAATACGTCCGCTGACCTCACAGCCGAATACGCAGAGCTGGCCATGCGAGCGTAAAAGTGCTGCCGCGAGCAAGCCGACTGACCTCCGAAGCCGACGTGGCACTGGCAGCTGAGCTGGCGGCTGTGCTGCGGCGAGACGAAGCTGACCACGTCCGTGGCCACGCTCACCACCAGCTCGTCGTCGAACACGGCCACGTCGCTGCAGTTGCCGTGCAGGCAGGGCGTCGCCTGACAGCCGTCCTCATCGACGGCCAGCAGCGGCACGGCCAGCAGGCGGCTGACGGCGGCGCGGCCGGCCAGCAGCCGGCGCCGCACCACGGCCGCCTCCATCCAGGCCGGGCCGCGCCGCACGGCCAGCAGCACGGCCAGGTCCGCCGGCCGGGCGGCCCGGCTGCGCCGCCGACCGCCGCCCGCCGCCGCCGGCTGCACGCTCAGGATCAGCACGTCCTTGGCGCGCACCTTCAGCTGCTTGCGCAGCGCACGCCGGAACGGCTTCATGTAGCTCAGCACGAACGCCCGCGGCGTGAGGCTGGCCAGCGTCACGGAGACGGCGTGACGCGCCATCTGGTCCGTGATTTCGCTCACGTCCACCGTCACGGCCGTGTGGCTGGTGAACTTGCCGTCCGTCACGGACACGTTCAGCCGGTACAATCCGGCGTCAATGCCGGCCAGCGTCACCAGCGAGCCGTCGTCCGGGTCCAGCTCGAACAGGCGCTCGAGGCCGGCCTGGCCGGCCACCAGGCCGAACTGCAGCCGGTCGTACGGGTCCTGGTCGGAGGCGTGCACGCGACCCACCACGGCGCCCGGGAAGCTGTCCTGGTACGACTGGATCGACACGTGCAGCGGGATCAGCACCGGCGGGTACTGCGGCTCCTCGATTATCTGCAACGCAGCGCGTCAACGGTCAGCAGATTGTCACAGCCCTCCGTTGCCTATGAGGCCAGTGGCAAACCACTGTCCAGCTCTTCGATAATGTGCCGTATGTGACACGAATATTCAACCATTTGTCGAAAATGGCCAAAGCCCTGACATTCCAGCTTACGAATCGTTCGGGACGTTGTACGGCTGTGGGAATGTTGCGTCTATGACCAAATGCCGTTACGAATATTTTACACATAGTTCTTCAAGCCGGACCGTGCAAAAACAAAGGTGTCCTCTATCACTGCATTAGAAAATCCCAACGTCCCTTTCACTGACCTTGACGTCGACCCAGGTCTCGGAGAAGCGCACGTCATCACCGTTGTCGTAGACGCGCACCAGCAGCTTGTACGAGTTGCGCAGCCGGTGGTCAAACTTGGCGGCCGTGCGCAACTGTCCGCCGGCCGTGATCACAAACCAGTTGCCGCCGTTGCCCTCGGCCACCTCGAACGTGAACGGGCCGGCGTTCGGATCCTCGTCAGCATCCGTCACAGAGAACAGCAGCATCGGGTGGCCGGGAGGCTTATCCTCCTGCGGCCAGAGAGGGAGGAACTCTTCAGACAACATGGGGAGAGCAGCAGCAGCGGGTGGCCGGGAGCCTTGCCCTCCTGCGGCGAGAGAGAGAGAGAGAGAGAGAGAGAGAGAGAGAGAGAGAGAGAGGGGGAGAAAGGAACTCTTCAGACCACATATCAACTGGGGGGAACAGCAGCGGCTGGTAGTCGGGGGCCTATCCTCCTGCGGCGAGGGAGGGAGGGAGGAACTCTTCAGACCACATATCAACTGGGGGGAACAGCAGCGGCTGGTAGTCGGGGGTCCATCCTCCTGCGGCGAGGGAGGGAGGGAGGAGCCCTCCAGACCACATATCAACTGGAGGAACAGCAGCGGCTTATAGCGGAAGGCTTATCCTCCTGAGGCGAGAGGGGAAGGAACTCTCCAGACAACATGTCAACTGGTTGGACAGCAGAAGATGATGGCTGGAATAGTTCGGACAAGGTGTCAATCTTTCCAGAAGAAAACAAGGGCGTTCGTTTCAGAGAAAGTTGTCGAGACTGCCCAGGTATGCAAAGATCGATGAGGCTTATAGTACGATTAGCAACTAATAGAATCTGCTGAGTTTTCCTCCCAACCCGCTTGTTTAGTCTCCCGGTAACACCAAAGTAATACGAACATGTACATAAAACATGAGCGGATTGGTTTTGTCGAAGTGCCACCAGCAGGGAAATGATGCAGGGCACACATGCACTGTATCATATTGCCGCACTGCTTCTTCATCAGACCTCACCTGAATAATGGCGCTGTAGCGAGACTGAGAGAAGACTGGCGGGTTATCGTTGGCGTCGCTGACGTGGACGTTGATCTGGGCGGAGGAGCTGAGCGAGGGATCGCCACCATCCGTCGCCGTCACATCCAGACTGTAACTGGACACCTGACCCAAACAATAAAGCGTAAGGCGACAGCAATGTGTGAAAATGAGCTGGACACCTGACCCAAACAATAAGGCATAAGGCGACAGCAACGTGTGGAAATGAGCACGTTCAAGACATAATTGAAACTGCTCACAACCCTTGACGAAATTCAGGTGTAGAACGTCATCGACCACTATTGCAGTACAATCCATGGATAAAACGTGTGTCAGGTACTGTACAGCCTCTGCACAGCCCGGCGCAACCCCTGTCTGTTGCAACCAGAGCACGTGTCGGCCCCAGCTGCTTTGATCAATTCGCCTGACACCTCCGGACATACCGGCACCGTGGAGCCGAGGGGCGAGAAGCGAGCCGCGAAGCACCGAGGCGTGAACCTCAAATGCATGTCGAGCCCTACCACTGGTGAGCGTCAGCTGAGGCGTGAACCTCAAATGCATGTCGAACCCTACCACTGGTGAGCGTCAGCTGAGGCGTGAACCTCAAATGCATGTCGAGCCCTACCACTGGTGAGCGTCAGCTGAGGCGTGAATGTCAAATGTATGCCGAGCCCTACCACTGGTGAGCGTCAGCTGAGGCGTGAACCTCAAATGCACGTTAAACCCTACCACTGGTGAGCGTCAGCTGAGGCGTGAAACTCAAATGCACGTTAAACCCTTCCACTGGTGAGCGTCAGCTGAGGCGTAAACCTCAAATGCACGTTAAACCCTATCACTGGTGAGCGTCAGCTGAGGCGTGAATGTCAAATGCATGCCGAGCCCTACCACTGGTGAGCGTCAGCTGAGGCGTGAACCTCAAATGCACGTTAAACCCTACCACTGGTGAGCGTCAGCTGAGGCGTGAACCTCAAATGCACGTTAAACCCTACCACTGGTGAGCGTCAGCTGAGGCGTGAACCTCAAATGCACGTTAAACCCTTCCACTGGTGAGCGTCAGCTGAGGCGTAAACCTCAAATGCACGTTAAACCCTACCACTGGTGAGCGTCAGCTGAAGCGTGAGCCTCAAATGCATGTCGAGCCCTTCCACTGGTGAGCGTCAGCTGTCAGTTCGGGTCCGATATGTGC